AAAGTTTGTTAATATTTTGAAATGTAAATGAAAAGAACTACTGTATATTCAAAGTTGGTTTGAACCAACTTTCTAGCTGCTGTTAAAGAAGATATTGTCAGAAACACAAGGCTTGATGCGGCTCCCAGGACAGTGAAACACAGTAATACTACACGATCAAGCCATCGACTCTGGGGAACAGAAGATCCATAACTTCAGAAATACGGGTTTCGATTTCACTCACAAGAGAGCTCAAATGTCTGCTGACAGAGGTTGGCCTGGCCGCTCCTCTCAAGGTGGGTCCAGCAACTCGGCACAGTCAAAAAGGCTGGGACAGTGGAGAACACGGATCAGGGTCCTAGACTATGAAGAAGCAGAAGTTCCTCCCTTTACCTCACTGGTCCCTGGACAGCAGTGGCAACATGTGCAGGACGAGCCAGGACAGGTCAGTGTTCTGCCTGACCCAGTGCTGCTGCAGCTCACACTTAACCCAGACCAGAACTGCCAGGAGGGCAGTCTGTGCAGGTTCCTGGTAGTCCCCACACATTGGGGCCCAGGCTGGCCCCGTGTTCAGTGAGATCTGAATGCGCTGTGTTTGAAGCAAGGGTTTAAAACACAAATGCTATCACAGAAATGCTGAACACAGAGGGACAGGCTAGGTTGTGTGCAGAATTATGAGCAAAGTAAATATTTGACTAAATGCACAAAGTATAGGATGTAGCCACGTCTAGACACACCATGTTGTATCTGAATAATTTTTGTGCCAATAAATGACATCAGAATTTTAAAAACATGTACATGAGCAGTTTTTTATTCATAATTATTAGTAAATTCAAAAAGGAAGCAGAGGGTTGGTTGGGGATGTAGCTCAGCATTAGAGCACTTGCCTAGCATGTGGGAAGCCCTGGCTTCATATCCTGGCACCACAAAAGGGGAGGGGGGCACAGTTAGTATGAGAGGAGTACAACGGACACAAGGATGTATGTGACGTGGTCCCTTTCCGTGGGGTATCCTGCAGCAGAACTGAGAATTCTACCCCCGCTAAGTGATAAGAGGAGCCATACACAGAAGCACTAATTCTGCCAGAATACCAGGAAAGCCTCATGGAAAAGTGCATGTTGGGACAGCTCAAGGAGGAGTGGGATTTTGTCAGGTGACGCACATGGGGACAGCCTTAGCAGGAAAGGAAGCGCAAGATGCTGAGGTGTGTAGAAGCATCATATCTGCAGCAAAGGCAAGTGTTACCCTGACCCATATGGAGCTGCGGTGTCTAGCCACATTTGACAGAGAAACAGCACATTCGCAGGGTCGAACCTCATAGCTCAGTATGTGTGGCTCAGTGATCAGAAGAGAATAAAAGGAACAACAGGAAGATAAGGGGAAAAGACGCCAGAGAGTAGAGTGGGGCCTCCTCACTGTCCCCGCAAGGCCTCTGGACCTGATGCTGCGAGGTTCAAGGCAGGAAAGGGCAATAGGTAGCAAACAGACGGAAAGAAAATCAGAAGCCACGTGGGCAGAGGAAGCTCCTGGAGTAACAGGAGGGGACATTAAGTAGAGCTGGTCAGCATCCTACAGATGACACATGCACTTTTGGTCTTTTGGGGGGTTTTTTTGTTTTTTTGTGGTACAGAAGATCAAACCCAGGGCTCATGTATGCTAGGCAAACACTCTATCTCTGAGCTACATACCCAGCCCTACATTCCCTCAAAAGAAAGAACATGCCTAAAGAGAACTTCCAGAGAAAATTTTTAGTTGTTTAAGGGAATTATTTGTTTCTAAATTTCTTTGGTCTACTTCTACTTAATAAAAATACTTTGTCATTTAAAAATTATTCAGAGGGCTGGGGATAAAGCTCAATTTGTAGAGTGCTTGCCTTGCATGCACAAAGCCCTGGGTTTGATCCCCAGCACCAACAAAAACTATTCAGAGAACTAATATAGGAGGAAGAAGATAATTAAAGGATAGGAATCATATGTCTTTCCCCAAAAACTGCCAGAAGACCCATCTCCGATTGGTGCTCCATAAAGGTTCATGAGACAACTCTTGCATTAAAAACAAAAGATTAAGGGCTGGGGTTGTGGCTCAACTGTAGAGCACTTGCCTAGTGCATGAGAGGCCCTGGGTTCGATCCTCAGCACCACATTAAAATAAAGGTATTGTGTCCAACTACAACTAAAAAATTAAAAAATAAAAAGATTAAGGGCTGGAGATGTAGCTAGGTGGTAGAGCACACCTAGTGCCTCACACATTCGAGGCAAGCACTTTACCACTGAGCCACAGTCCCAGCCCGTGAAAAAGATTTTAAAAAGTAAATAAATAAAATATTTTAAAATCACAAAATGAGTTTGGATCCCACAGTGAAACTAGTAAGTTTGCACACTCACAGCTAGAAAGTCTCGTACCATGTGTGAGGGTTTGGCTATGAGATATCCCAACAGCTCCAGTGTTAAAGCAGGAATGTTTGGAGATGCTTGGACTGTGAAAGCTGTGACCTAATCAGTCCATCCTCGCTTGAAGGGACTGGGTGTTAACTGTAGGTAGATGGGGTGTGGCTGGAGGAGATGGCCACTGGGGGGTCTTGCCTGTGATCTCCCTCCCTACCCCACCCCCAGCAGCTTTCCTCCACTGACCCTTCTCCCATGATGTTCTTCCTCTCCTTGGGCCCAGGGCAGTGGTGTCAGCAGCTGTCTATGGACTGAGACTGAAACTACGAGCCCCAAAGAAACTTTTCCTCTAAGCTGTTGTCAGGTGTTTTGGCCACAGCAACACAAAAGATGACTAAAACATCATGTATAACCCATTTCGCTCCCAAAAATATGATCCTCATAACTTCCTTGGCTCCAGATAAGACAATTTCATGTCTTCAGTGATATTTTATTACCTTTCATAAAAGATTAGGAAAGCAAAGTCTGAACTGTGGTGAATCTAATAGGTTTTTAAGTTATCTAAGCAAAGTCTTCTGGCTTTGTAGACATGAATTACCAGGGGCAGGGAAGAGCTAATGAAGGCCTTTAAGAACAGTCTAACCACCAGTTGCAGTGGTGCACGCCTGGTAATCCCAGCAACTCTGGAGGTTGAGGTAGGAAGATCGCAAGTTCAAAGCCAGCCTCAGCAAATTAGTGAGCTGTAAGAGATTCAGTGAGACCCTTTCCCAAAACGAAAAAATAATAAAGGGCTGGGGATGTGGCTCAGTGGTAAAGTGCCCCTGGATTTAATCCTTCATACCACCCCACCCCCGCCAAAAAAAAAAATCTAACCCTCAATCACAAATGGTTTCATGTAATCCTATGTGACTGGAGGACACAGAAAAGAATGACAAGATCCTTGCATTCATCAGCTTTCATAAACCAGGGCCTTAGAACTAAGAGGCAATATAATCAAAACTGGAGAGGGGCACAGTGGTGCACACCTGTAATCCTAGCAGTTCAGGAGGCTGAGACAGGAGGATCGTGAGTTCAAAGCCAGCCTCAGCAAAAGTGACCCTCTACGCAACTCAGTGAGACCCTGTCTCTAAATAAAATACAAAATAGGGTTGGGGATGTGGCTCAGTGGTCCTGTGCCCCTGGATTCAATCCCCAGTACCAAAAAAAGAAGGAGGAGGAGGAGGAGGAGGCTACGGCTGGGCTGGGAATGTAGCCCAGTGACAGAACACTTACTTGGTATGTGTGAGGCCCTGTACCATCCATCCATGCCCAACACCAAAAAAGAAAAAAAAGAATCAAGGCTATAGTGGCAAAAGACTGAGTTTCAAATCAACTCTATCTCACACTACGTGTGTGATTTGGGACAAGTTATTTAATTTTTCTATGCTTGCTTGCTTTGTGATACTGAGGATTGAACCCAGGGGCACTTACCACTGAGCCACTCTCCCTGTCCTCAGATTCACCTAATACAGCCTACCCTACCTTAAACATGCTGGGAACATCTACATTAATTAGCCCACAGTTGGGCAAAATCCACTCACACAAAGCCTATTTTATAACAAAGCACAGGAAATCTCACGTCAGTTTTTTTTTTTTTTTTCATTATTAACCTTCATTAATGAATGCTTAACACCAAGCAAAACACGGTGAGATAGAAAGACACATATGGTCCACATTCTCTACTATCAGAATCTAGTGAATTATACAAGATGGTACGTAATTGAGCACTAAATTTTACAGATCACACTAAGAGTTTTGCATGTAGTTTTTAAAATTTGTTTATTCTAATTAGTTATACATGACAGCAGAATGCTCTTCGATTCACTGTACCAACATCATTCTAAATGGAGAAAAATTGGAAGCATTCCCACTAAAGACTGGAACAAGACGGGGATGCCCTCTTTCACCAATTCTATTCAACATAGTTCTTGAAGCTCTAGCTAGAGCAATTAGACAGTTGAAAGAAATTAAAGGGATGTGAATAGGAAAAGAAAAACTCGAACTATCATTATTTGCCAATGACATGATTCTATACTTAGAAGATCCAGAAAACGCCACCAAAAAACTTCTAGAATTAATAAACGAATTCAGCAAAGTAGCAGGATATAAAATCAATACCCATAAATCAAATGCATTTCTATACACCAGTGATGAATCCTCTAAAAGAGAAATTAGGGAAACTACCTCATTCACAATAGCCTCCAAAAAAAAAAACAAAACTCAATTTTTAAAAAGAGGTGAAAGACCTCTACAAACTACAGAACACTAAAGAAAGAAATTGAAGACTTTAGAAGATGGAAAGATATGTCATTTTTTTAGTAACTGAAAATGAAAAACAGAATGGTTGTATGGCTGTGATTTCATACGGACATAAAATGGGGAAGTTCTTAAGTTGAACAATCATAGGGAAAAGACACGATGCCTCAGGGGTGGGAGTAACTGCAGGCGCTGGTCTCGCGATGAGGGCGGAAGGGAACCAGAGGTTGACGGGAGCTGGCTTTAAATGCAAGAACTGAGTCCTCCGGTCCCGCCCAGGATCACAAGGTTGCTGGGATGATACACGGTAAGGTTATAGGAGTACGTGAACGCGCCTACGAGACTCGACACTCCAGCTCAAGCTCCCGCCAGCCCGTGCTCCTGGACCGGGGCCCCTGCGCACGCGTAGAGCGCTAGCTGCGCGTCAGCGGCACTCTCGCGAGAAGAGCCTTGCGGGCCACGAAGATGGCGCCCCCCAGTCCCCGGGAGCCCAAGTCCCCGTCGGCCACTGGTGCCACCAAGCCCGACAGTGACATGGTGCTGCCGGGCTTCCCGGACGCGGACAGCTTCGTGAAGGTGGGTTCGCCGGCAGCCGCGCTCCCTGGCTGGGGCGGGAGGAGGCCGCGGGCCTGGGGAACAGCCGCGCGCCGCAGCGTAGTCCGACGGGGACCGGGCCGCGAACTCCGGCGCCTGGGACGCCGCTCGCTGTGAGCCCACGCGGCCCGGGGGCGGAGCGCCGGCTGCTCGTCGCGGGGAGGGCCTCTGGGCCCCCGGCCGGCTCCCGGGCTCGGCCGCGCTGCGTCTTCCGCACGGGCCCGCGGCCCCCTCGGAGGTGCCGCCTCGTCACCCCAGCATCCTTGCCCCAGAGCCGGGGCGCAGTATGAGGCCCTCCCTGTGGGCATGCGGGGCTCCTTGGAGTTACTTGTGTAGCGGCTCAAGTGGGAGCCGACCTCCGGCCAGGCTTAGGCCTTAGGGTGGCCCTTTCCGAGCCGCGGCACTGCCAGCCCGGCAAGTTTGCCACGGGGCCTGCGGTCCCCGCTCCGCCGTCTGACCTGCGGTACCGTCCACTGCACTTCCTGGCCCCAGCAGGCCCCGAACCGCGAGGTGTGGTCCCTGGCGTCACCCACTACCACACCGCAACTTAATTTCCACCTCCTTTCTCATTTTTTGGCTGGCGGGAGACGTTTGTACACAAAACTGACATTTGGCCTACACGCGCCCGCCTCCTTTGTCAGTGAAGGGTCATTTCTCATTACCCAAGAGTTTCAGTAGAGTGCTGCTTGGTAGTCACAGAGCCAGTTGTAAATCGGTCATCGAGCGAGTCTGGAGGACGCTTGTATTGATGTTAGGTGTTTGTCAAGGTAAAAACACAGAAGCACAGTAAATCTTGTATAGAGCACATGGATTTGAACTTGGGTAATAATAGCATTGATGTGCCAGGTGCTGTGGGAGGTGATTTTATTAACTCACTCAATCCTCACAGCAACTTGTGGGGTAGATACTTTTTATTATGCCCATTTTTCTGAGGAAGAAACCAAGGTCCAAATAAGTGGAATAACTTAACCAAAATCACAAATCATAGATGGTGGAGCCAAGATCAAACCTGGTCCATTTTAAATATGTTATTTTTTGTCTTTGGTCAGCAAGAGTCCACATACAAGATTATGTAGCCTAGTGACGTCACAGCTGTCTTAGTGTGTGTATACTTGTCTGTGTGATGGTGAAATCACCTAACGACGCAGAGGGACACATGACTTTATATGGCTTTGTGTTGTTTTGTTTTTGCAGTACTAGGGATTGAACCCTGGGCCTTACAGTGCTAGGCAGGCTTTCTACCACTGAGCTATATCCCAGCCCTTGTATGTGTATGTGTTTTGTCACCGCCCCCCCGCCCCCCCCCCAGTCTTTCAGGAACATTGGCTCCAAACTGGGTTCTTTGGTTCATTGAATTCTCATGGCCCAGAACAGGACTGGGGGTAGAGTGGCACCAAGTGGGTTATTCATTATGCAGATAACATTGGATGCCTATCACTTCTCTTCAGTACTGGTACAACATGCTGTATGGGCAGATCTTCCAACAGGGACTTGCTGAGCAAATGATGATCTGTGTTTTAAATGTGCTGTATCTTTGGGGTTTTGACAGTTCGCTCTTGGATCAGTGGTGGCAGTCACGAAGGCATCTGGAGGCTTACCACAGTTTGGTGATGAGTATGATTTTTATCGAAGTTTTCCTGGCTTCCAGGCATTTTGTGAGACACAGGGAGACAGGTTGCTTCAATGGTGAGTACTGTGTATTTTCTTGTATTAATGAAAGAAATGAAAACAAAGAGATGGATAATTTTTTTCTGAAATTTGTTTCTCCTCAATCATAATTTTGTGCACTATAAACAACGATGAAGGGCTGGGGATGTGGCTCAAGCGGTAGCGCGCTCGCCTGGCATGGGTGCGGCCCGGGTTCGATCCACAGCACTGTTACCGCTGTTGACCGGTGACGAGTTCTTGCTTCCCCAATGTTGAAGAATAACACCAAAGAAGCACGCCGAGGCAAGGTCAGAGTAGAAATTAGAAGTTTATTAAAGGACAGCAGAAAAGACTTCTCCCGGAGGAAGAAGGGGACCCAAGAGGTGGAATCCATGGAAGGGATGTTGTCTCCCCTTTTTATAGTTCTTTCAGTAATGGAATGTAGGTGGGAAGGACCAAGGGGTGGGACACAGGTGGGCCAAAGAAGTAATCTGGTCAGGAAGGACTGAGTCAGCACCTTTTTGCTGGGGGCTGTTCATTAACATTTCTTTGAGGTGGACTTTGGCCTAGGGCCTTTTCGGACTTCATTAACATTCCTTGAGTTGTCCTGCGTTTCCCGGAATCATTGCCAGCATGGCCTCCATTTTAGATTTCACTCGGTATTAGACCTGATTTACCTAACTACACTGACTACCTAACTTTAAATCTGGCTTCAGCACCACATACAAACAAAGATGTTATGTCTGCCGAAAACTAAAAAGTGAATATTAAAATAATTCTCTCTCTCTCTCTCTCTTTAAAAAAAAAAAAAAGAGTGAGGGTTGACTCCAGTCCTCACACCAGTATTAAAAATAAATAAACAACGATGAAATGTGAAAATGACACAATATATTTTCATTAGGGAAATAATTTTTAGTTTAACTTTTTTGTGTGTGTGGTGCTGGAGATTGAACCCCGGGGCCTCATGCATGTCAGGCAGATGCTTTACCACTGAGCTCCATTACCAGCCTTTTTTTCAATTTTATTTTATTTTGAAATAGGGTGTTACTGACTTGCATAGGCCAGCCTTGAACTTGTTCTGTCTCAGACTTCTGAGTAGCTAGAATTACAATTGTGCACCATTGCACACAGCTTAGTTTAACTTTTAAAAAATATATCAACTTTTGCACTTTTAGGCAGCAGATCTTTTTGAATTAATATGGAACTTGAAAATCAGTGTATTAGGACAGATAATACATAAACATTAATTTTGTTTAACTGTTGTGTAAAAAATTAGAAAAACTCACATTTGCCATGTTAAAACAATAAACACAGCATACATTATTAATATAGTATCATGTGACTGGGCGCAATGGCACATGCCTGGAATCCCGGCGGCTCAGGAGGCTGTAGCAGGAGGATTGCGAGTTCAAAGCTAGCCTCAGCAAAAGCAAGGTGCTAAGCAACTCAGTGAGACCCTGTCTTTAAATAAAATACAAAATAGGGCTGGGGATGTGGCTCAGTGGTTGAGTGCCCCTGAGTTCAATCCCCAGTGTGTACACACACACACACACACACACACACATATATAAATAAAATCATGTGTAAGAAGCTTTGAGATAAGTTTCTCCTTCAAATCATGAGATAAAGATGCACAGACTGACCTTGGCTTTCCTCTCCTTAGCATGAGTAGGGTGATGCAGTACCATGGGTGTCGCAGCAACATTAAGGATCGGAGCAAGGTGACTGAGCTGGAGGACAAGTTTGATTTATTAGTGGACACCAATGATGTGATTCTGGAGAGAGTGGTGAGTACTTTGCCAGACACTTCACTGACAAATGAAGAGTGTTTTATGAAAGCAAGGAGTAACCCAGGCACCTTAGAAAATGAAAAGGAAGTGAGTTTAGCATTTGGTACAGGTAATAACTTCTCCTTCTGATAATTGGCATCTTTTTCTTCAAAAATAACAACAGTTGTCTTTAAAATATCACTGGCTTTAAAAAGAGAAAGAAAAAATCACTCCCTGGGGAAGCCTCTTTGTTTTTTTTTTAAATGTCTATGAATCCATTTTTCTGATTTGCAAATTCTGTTTGTATTGCAAGGCAGCCTCTGTACCAGCCCAGCCAAAATTTAGTTCTTTTTTGTTGTTTTTCACAATCTACCTCTAAGACCCCAACCTGCAGAATTAAAAGGAGATTCATATCTATCTAGGTCACTATCAATTTATTTCAAAAAACACAGGAGAGCATTATTTATAGAAATACTCACAGATCATCCAAGTAAGTCTAACCTTCAACTAGTGACAGCCCTGGAGATATTGACATCCTGCTCTCCTGTCCCAGGAGGTCATCTCTTCCCAGCCTAAATGCCCACAATCTTTTAGAGGAGTCTCATGTTTTATGACTTTAGGTCCTGCCATACTATCATCTGTCACGTGGGTGCATTTCTTTTAATAGTGCACAATCTGATTTTCCACACCTGTTTGTACACACTAGACAGGCTACCATTATTCTCATTCTAACTAGTGTACTTCCCCTGGCACTCACCACGGCCCTGTACTGGGAACAAAACCCAGGGTTGTATGCATGCTAGGCAAGTGCTATACCACTGAGCTACACCCTACACCTATACTTCTTTATTTAACAGACACAGTCTTCTATTTTTATTTTAGTGGCCACATTACATTGTAACAACATATTTGGACATTCAGCCAAGTTCATAGTTATAGAGGGTCAATCAGGTCAGGAGTTAGTAATTACTGCCCTACCTGTCTGTGAACATATAATGCTTCAGTTGCTTGGTGTAACTCCCTAATCACCCCACCTCTCACACAGTGATGCACATTTGTGTGTGTGTATTCGCATGTGTGTGTGCATGGAGGGTGTAAGGCAAGTGCTCTACTTCTGAACCACAACCCCAACTCCCTAACTTTACCACTGAGCTACATCATCAACGTTTTTTGGTTTGGTTTGGTTTGGTTTGGTACTGAGAATTGAACTCAGGGGTGCTCAACCACTGAGCCATGTCCCCACCCCTTTTTCATATTTTATTTAGAGATAAGTTCTTGCTGTGTTGCTAAGTGCCTCGCTAAGTTGCTGAGGCTGACTTTGAACTCGCAATCCTTCTGCCTCAGCCTCCCAAGCTGCTGGGATTATAAGTATGCGCCACTGCACCTGGCCATCATCAACCTTTTTTACTTTAAAAAAAAAAAAAAATGTCTCTGGGCTAGGATTGTGGCTTAGTGGTAGAGCACTTGCCTAGTACATCTGAGGTACCTGGGTTCAATCCTCAGCACCACATAAAAATAAATAAGATAAAGGTATTGTGTCCATCTATAACTAAATAAAAAAATTTTAAAAAGTTTCACTAAGTTGCTAAGGCTGGCCTCAAGCTTGTGATCCTTCTGCCTATACCTCCCAAGTTGCTTGGATTATAGGTGTGCACTGTGGCCAAAAAAAAAGGTTATTTTTTGATTGACAAATAAAAACTGCATATACTTAAGGTATGTTTTCATATGTGCATTGATATGTACATATTCTCTCACATAATTCTGCAAATAAATTTCTTAAAAATATCAGGGAATTAACTTTGCTAACCTCAAAAAGAAGATACTAACCTAATATCTCATTTGCTCTTAGGGTATTTTGCTGGATGAAGCATCAGGTGTGAATAAGCATCAACAACCTGTCCTCCCTGCAGGACTACAGGTCCCCAAAACAATAGTGTCCAGCTGGAACCGGAAGGTGAGGGCATCTTTTCAGTTTTGACGAGGGCCTTCGTGGAAGCTTTTCCATAGGGCTCTCGCCCACTCGAATGTGTACTTCTGACTTGCTGGGCAGAGCTGGCACTGCCTCATTTAGCTTGTTCTCATAAATATACAGAGCCTGACTCCACCCCTTCCACTTTGCACTCCTAGTCTCCCATGCACAGACATTCTAAATGAAATGAGTAGCTCTCAAAATGTTTTTATCTCCTTGGAAGACCATCAACTGGAATTTACTTTTTATTTATTTTTTTTTTTCCTGGTACTAAAGATTGAATGCAGGGGATGTACTACCACTGAGCTGCACCCCTAGTCCTTTTTATCTGTTATTAAAATTGTAAGATAGGATCTTACAAAGTTGCCAAGGCTAGCCTTAAACTTAGGATCCTCCTCAGGATCAGCCTTCTCTTGCCTCAGCCTCCCAAGTCACTGGCATTATAAGCATGCACTACCATGCCTGGTTATAGTTTGCTTTTCTAACTCATCAGGTTGCTGTGGCATAAGACATTTGTATGCATTGATCACAGGCAGGAGAATATGGCAGGAAAGCAAAATCTGAAACTTTTCGACTACTTCATGCAAAAAACATTATCCGACCTCAACTCAAGTTTCGAGAGAAGATTGACAATTCCAACACTCCGTTTCTTCCTAAGATCTTCGTCAAGCCCAATGCTCAGAAGCCGCTCCCTCCACGTGAGTATTGCACGTGCTGCTGTGTGTGAATCTTCTCTTCCGTCTAATGCCAAAGGCAGCAAAGGGGTGAAGGTCTCTCTGCCTTCCTTTCTTCAGAGGGAGTCAGTGATACCCAGAAAGCTAGAAAAGACCTTAAGGTGTGTGTCCCTTTGTGATGGTGTTTTTGTCATGCTTGGGTCTCCAGCTCTTTCTAAAGAACGGCGGGAACGCCCCCAGGACCGTCCTGAGGACTTGGATGTACCCCCTGCCCTGGCGGATTTCATCCATCAGCAGCGAACCCAGCAGGTTGAGCAGGACATGTAAGAGATTGCCTGTGTCTAAACCTTCTACTCAAATTTTTGCTTCATTTTCACTTGGTTTCACTTTTATAAAATGTGTATGTGAAAAAGTCAAACAGGTGGTTTTTGCCTCATTCTCACATGAATATTAGCAACTGAGCATCCTGTTTGTGTTCACAGAGACCAACACAGCACTGTCCCAGGTAACCCTCACCAGGTACCAAGCAGTGGCAGGTACTCTAGCTCCCATTTGCTATGATATTAGAGATGCTGACTTCCCCGAGACTAGAACTGTAAACCCCCATTTTCTTCAAGTTGCCTTTCCCCCATGCTGCCCTGCTTTTTCACAGGAGGGATTCACCTTAAGGTGAGGCAAAGAATAGGGTTGTTCACTGGCAGCATTAGCATGTTGCGAAAACTTCACTTCAAATAGATAAATGGGCAGGAATGCTGCTTAGTGGCAGTGTGTGCCTCGCATGTGCAAGGCCATGGGTTCAGTCTCCAGCATCAAAAACACAGCAAGAAGGTGCACACTTATAGTTCCAGCTACTTGGGAGGGTCACTTGAGCCCCTGAGCTTGAAACCAGCCCAGGCAACATAAAAAGATCCCATCTCAAAAAAGGGAGAGAGAATAGACATATGGACTTTGGCATAATGAAGTTGGCTTTGGCCTCTTTCTCACACATAGCCAGGGGCTGTTTACATTCATTCCTTGCCCCCTCTCTGCACTATGAGGCCAGACTAAGTGCTGGAGAAATAGAGGGGATGAAAGGTAACTCTGCCCTCAAACTCACCACAGGCTTGGGGTGTTTATGCAAATACATGAGAGAAGAAGGGAAAAAACATTTAGCCCATGGTCAACCAGAATATTTGCCCCACTCTCTCTCAACTTCATCAGTTTATTTTTCCAAACCATAAGGAATTATGTATTTTTCATTTTTGTGTCATCTACAACACCAACCATCCAGTGTTTGCAAGAAAGTACTCACATGTTGGTCAAGTCTCGGTTCTTCAACTCTCCCTGAAGAAACAGACAAATTGTCCTGTGGTCAGGGCCATCACACATTGCCTTATTTATTTGATGCTCATGAATTATCACTGCACCAATGATGCTTTTGCAAAGAGAAGGTAGTTTCACAATGCTTGGTTCTCACTTGTTTTTACATGTAGTATCAGAACAGCTTTTCCTTTGACTGATGGAATTAATCAAATGGTTTCTTTTTGTTTTATTGATTAGGTTTGCACATCCTTATCAATATGAACTAGATCACTTCACACCCCCAGAGTCAGTGATTCAGAAGCCACAACCCCAGGTTAGTGCCCAGTTATAGTGGTGTCAGAGGGTCCTGGGAAGAAGAGTCAAAGCAGATTATTTGATCTAATTTTGACTTTCCTTTAATAAGTTTAAAGTAGGGAGTTTAGGCCACTGCTTGGACTCATAGTTTGCTTGGTATTTTAGTGAGGGTGGTTTTAATATTCTTTTCTTTTTCTCACTGTACTTGCTCCAGTTGTACAGACCTGTAGAAGAAACACCCTGCCATTTTGTATCCTCCCTGGACAAACTTGTGGAACTCAACGAAAAACTCTTGAATTGTCAAGAATTTGCTGTAGACTTAGAGGTATCTTGTAATTGACCCTTGTGAAATTTTACATTTTCGGGAATTTACATTTTAGGAAATTAGCACAAATTTTAATGGAATTTTTTGCTGCTGTATAATTGATTTCAAAATTGGTGGAGGAGGAGCTGGGGCATAACTCAGTGGTAGAGCACATGCTGATTAGCATTCCTCAGCACCAAATATAAGTTAATAGATAAAACAGTTGGTAAAGGAAAGGCTAGCGGATACCATCCTCCTGTCCCCTCCCTCTCTGTCTTAGCACCACTCTTACAGGAGCTTCCTGGGACTCACCTGCCTGATGCAGATTTCCACCCGAACAGAAGACTTCATCGTGGACACCCTGGAGCTTCGCAGTGACATGTATATCCTCAACGAGAGCCTCACAGACCCAGCTATCGTTAAGGTCAGCCGGCCCTCTCCAGCTCCAGCATGTGAGGTGGGGTTGCAGTCTTTCACCTAGAGCACACGGTTAAAAGAAATCGTGTCATTTCCTGCCCTGCACATGCTAACTGCTTGTCTCTAGCTTGCTGCCACTTGGAGCCATAAAGGTCATGTTAGCGGCTGCAGCCAAGAGCCTAATCCATCAGGATTGCGTGGACTTGAGGACTTGCTTAGAGCCAATAGAGCTGCTTCAGCCTGTAACCTTGTATAATAGAAGTACACACAAAGGCTAGGCCCCAAATTAAAGGAAGCATTTAAAACCATATGCATCTTCATCTCCAGGCTGGCCTCCAATCCCAGGTGCTGATGGCCTTGAGGCAGCTTTGTCTTCAGAGACAAGGGGCTTCTGCTGGTGTATCACATGGCGTTGGTTTTGTTTTCAGGTCTTCCATGGTGCCGATTCCGACATTGAGTGGCTACAGAAAGACTTTGGGCTATACGTAGTGAACATGTTTGATACCCACCAGGCAGCACGCCTTCTTAACCTGGGCAGGCACTCGCTCGATCACCTGCTGAAACTCTACTGCAACGTGGAATCAAACAAGCAGTACCAACTAGCTGACTGGAGGATACGGTTAGTTTGCACCTGGCAGGAAGTGTGGGTGGCAAGAGCCAGGCCTGGGGTCCACTAACCTCTTGCCGGGAAGAATATGTTCAGGTTACTGCTTTATTTCAAATGAGTGTATTAGACTTTTCCTGGGAGTTTTTTGCAACACAAAAGCAATAGAAAAGTTTAGGATGGAAATGTAGAGTTTATGTCAGGTTGGTTGTTACACTCTGCTTCTTGGAAGTAGTGATTGAAAAAAGAAGCATGCCTTGTCAGCATTGACCAGTGCCAGTCTGCCTTGTTTGCAACTCTGCTGGCTCTAGCAGGGATGAGTTATCTCCTGAGGTGTGAGAGAAGGCTCAGGTGCGCAGTTGATTTAGTAGCACAGGGTTGTAGCAGTTTTACCCTGCTTTCTGGAAACCTTAGCCCCAAGTTTGATCATGGCTGGCTACCTCCCTGAGGTACCGTGCCTTGTAAGATGCCTCTGAGCTTCTCTCCATTTCAACATATGTGAATTTCTAAATATTAACCAAATTTATTTGGACCAACAAAGTTCACATATGGGGGCTGGGGATATGGCTCAAGCGGTAGCGCACTCGTCTGGCATGCATGCGGCCCGGGTTCGATCCTCAGCACCACATACAAACAAAAGATGTTGTGTCTGCCGAAAACTAAAAAATAAATATTAAAATCTAAAAAAAAAAAAAAAAGTTCATATATGGTCTGGTGATGGCATCACCTGTAATTCCAGCTACTCAGGAGACTGAGGTAAGAGGATACAATTTAGTAAGGCCCTGTCTCAAAAAATAAAAAGGCTAGGGATATGGCTTGGTGGTTAAGTATCCCTTGGTTCAATCTCCAGGACAAAAAAATACATATTTAAAAAGACTATTAGGTTCAGGAGGACATACAGCTGGAGAGTCACCTTAGGGCTGCCTCCCTTTCCACCTGACTGTTAAAGTAAAGGTATGTCATATTAAGATGCAGGAAATGAGGCTGGGCACAGTGGCACACACCTGTAATCCAGCAGCTGAGGAGGCTGAGGCAGGAGGATCACAAGTTCAATGCCAGCTTCAGCAACTTAGGCCCTAAGCAACTTAGTGAGACCCTATCTCTAAATAAAATACAAAAAAGAGCTGGGGATGTATATGGCTTAGTGATTAAGTGTCCCTGGGTTCAATTCCTAGTACCAAAAAAAAAAAAAAAAAAAAACCAATGCAAGAAATGTTGGTATGACCATAATAACTGGCTTTAAAAGACTCTTTGAAACCAGAAGGGTTCAAGAAAGCCCTAGCATCCGGTGAGTAGACAGAGTGGATTGCTGTCCCTGGGGCAGTAATCAGAACCAAGCCCTGTGTTTCAATTCTAGCCCTCTGCCTGAAGAAATGCTCAGCTATGCCCGGGATGACACCCATTACTTGCTCTACATCTACGACAGAATGAGGGTAGAGCTGTGGGAGCGAGGTGGAGACCAGCCCGTCCAGTTGCAGGTGGTGTGGCAGCGGAGCAGGGACATCTGCCTCAAGGTACAGCCTCACCAGGCCCACACAAGCCCCACAGTCAGCGCTCACTTCTGATTAGGATCTAGTTCTCACTTTTGTTCTTCACATCTGTGAAAAGAGCCAAACATTTTCAAGAGCCCAGGGCACAATTTTCAATCTATTGATCTTGCATATTTAACATTCTGTAGAAATTTGTCAAACCTATCTTCACTGATGAGTCCTACCTTGAACTGTATCGGAAGCAAAAGAAGCATCTCAACTCGCAGCAGTTGACAGCTTTCCAGCTGCTTTTTGCCTGGAGGGATAAAACAGCTCGAAGGGAGGATGAAAGTTACGGGTAAGGGAATCCAGAGTCCTTTAATCCTTTCTTCTAGGCCGGGCTTGTCTGACAGGAAAGGGACTTTGTAGCCCTGGGATGGAACCCAGGAGCACTCCACAATACTAAGCTACATCCACAGCAGTCTTTATTTACTCTTTTGAGACAGGTTCTCGCCAAGTTGCCCAGGTGGCCTTGCATTCACCCTGCTTCAGCCCCACGGATCTGAAGGGGTGTGATGTGAGCCTCCACATCCACCTGGACTTTTTTTTTTTTTTTTCTTTCTTCTACTGTGAAGGCTGGTTTTTGCCTCTGTGTTATAGCTGTGTGTGTGTGTGTGTGTTTTGCACATGCTGGGCAAGCACTCTGCCCCTGTGTCATGTCCCCAGCATCAAATGGAACTTACTAGCTGAATTTTTATGTTATCCCATGTGTTCTATTCCAGATACGTACTGCCGAACCACATGATGCTGAAGATAGCCGAAGAACTGCCTAAGTGAGTCTGGGCTTGTGAATGTGTTCCAACTGTCTCAGACCACGTGTCCTTCAGAGTTGGGCTTCTTGATTACTCTAACGCAAAGCTATTTACTCAGATTAGTGTACTAAATTCAGAAGGTAGCAAGTCCAAGAAATGGAAAATTACTGCCCAAGAGCTGCCATGTAAGAACGAAAACTTCTAAACTGGAATGTTTTAATAATTATGTCTTACGTTGTGTTTGAGTCTCTTGCAGCTACAGCAGCCACTTACAGAGAAAGAAAAAAATCTGATTTTCTCAGCTGTACTTTCTTCCAAACTAACACCTCATAGCCGGTCATGGTGGCATACACCTGTAATCCCAGCTACTCAGAAGGCTGAGGCAGGAGGATCACAATTTCTAGGCCAGCCTGAGCAACTTAGCCAGATTCTAAGCAACTTAGCAAGACCCTGTCTCAAAATAAAACATAACACATAAGGCGTGGGGTTCAATTCTCAGCACCACATAAAAATTAATAAATAAAATAAAGGTATTATGTCTGTCTACAACTAAATAATATAATATATTTTTAAAAACTTTAAAAGTGGCAGATGCTGGGGATGTGGCTCAATGGTTAAACAACCGTGGATTCAATCCCTGATAACCCAAAAAAAAAAAAAGACCTCATGTTTTTAGGTTTTTTTGTGTTGTTGTTTTGTTTTATACAAGGATTGAACCTAGGAACACTTTACCACTGAGCCACATCCCCAGACCTTTTTATTTTGTATTTTAAGACAGGGTCTTACTAAGTTGCTTAGGGTCTCAGCCTCTTAAATTGCTGGGATTATATATAGTTGTGCACCATGTGCCTGCAAGACCTCGTGATTTTGAGCATTTTGTAATGTCACTTGAAGTATGAGTAAGAATCAGAATCCAATCTGTTGCTCATCCTGTAGAGCTGAGAACCAGCAGTGCCAGGGTGTCTGTTTCCAGCTCTCCCGTGTGTGGACTCAGGCCAGAGAGGGCCTAATGTAAGCATTGGCCTGGCTGCCTTCCTGTCATCTCTCTTCTGGTTCTTTAGCTTAGCCATGGACCCTGGCTTTTCCCAGTCATTATTCTCTTGGGAAGTCACTAAGGATTGTTTCTAAAGTGAGTTGAGCATGTTCTCCCTTGTCTTCAGGGAACCGCAGGGCATCATAGCTTGCTGCAACCCAGTACCGCCTCTTGTACGACAGCAGATCAATGAAATGCATCTTTTAATCCAGCAGGCTCGAGAGATGCCCCTGCTCAAGGTAAGACTCCCAACTCAACAGGTTGTTCATCCTGCTAACTCTTGGAAGTAGGTGTGTCCTTTTGGATTTAGCTGCCCTTTTTTTTTTTTTTTTTTTTCATGTTTGTGGTGCTGGGGGTCAACCAGAACCTTACACATGCTAGACAAGCACTCTACCACTGAACTTCACGCCCAGCCTGTGCGTTACTTTATGATAGTCGAAAGATAAAATTCTTCCCAATACCACACATATTAAAAAGGAGCTAAAATTCATCCTGATCATTTTATGACATTATCTTTGCTGATCTGACAGCCAATAGCATCTAGTGGCTGGGCTAATTAGCTGTTGTTGTAAGGCAGTTAATCTGGCAGAATGTGATGAGGTGAGGATCTCAGTACAGGGAGCTCATGTTGGAAGCCCAGCAATGGCCCAGATGTTAAGTCTTGAGAGTGCTCTGAGAGTGTGTGGTTGTCACGGAATGGAAAGAACAGATATAGGGGGTACCAGAACGAAAGATCAGAGGGACTTTGTAACAGGTGCCAGTTTTTCTTCAACGTGAAGTATGTAGACCTGTTACCTAAACTGAATTTGGGGCCTGATGAAGGTGGAATCCAAGACCATTTTCTCCACATTCAAAACCTAGGTGATTGGGAAGGTAGGAAGTGGGAATTTAGGGCGAGGGTAGAGCTTGGTGGAAGAGCACTTGGCCAGCATGTGTAAGGCCCTGGGTTTCATCCCCAGCACAGCAAAAAAAAAAAAAAGAAAGAAAAAGAAAAAAAATCGGAGATTCAGAAAAAGAATATATGTGAAGGAGAGGCTGAAGTTTAGACAGACTCGGGGAAAGTGACACGGCCCCTGCAACACAGGTATCCACAGGATGGTGGAAGTGCAAAGTGCACAGGAGTAGGGACGTGAGCATGTCTCGTGGGTCCTGGAGACATGACAGCATGTCTTGATTTGAGGCTTTTTGTTTCACCTTTTTTTTTTTTTTTAATATTTATTTATTTTTTAGATGTAGATGGACAATGACAATGCCTTTATTTTTATGCGGTGCTGAGGATCGAACCCGGGTCCCGACCGTGTTAGGCGAGCGCTCTACCGCTGAGCCACAATCCCAGCCCTTGTTTCACCTTCTTAATTGGCTTTACCTTCCATTATGTGGTTGGACAACAAATCATTCCATAAAACAGCATGCGTTCTCTTGGTTTATAATACTGGGACAGTTTTCAGTGTGTTGGCTCAGTAGTAATAGCAGCATGTGGTACTTTTTTTGAAAGATAATTGGCCCAGAAAGACTGAAAATCAAAGAAGAATCTGAGCATGAACACATTGGCACTTGTCATGTTAAAATGTCTTTCTGGGGGCCAGGGGCTGTGGCTCATGGTCGAGTGGTTGCTTAGCAGGTACAAGGCCCTGGGTTCCATCCCCAGCACCTCAAGAAAGAATATAAATGTCTTTCTTAGCTCTGCAGTTTGTCTAAGTAGAGGGAGCCCCAGACCGCTACAGAAGACACTCTTGCAGGCTGTTTGGAATCTTTCCTGTGGTGCCTCATCGTGATAAAGAGCTCAGTTCTTTGATTGCACAATTCCTGAGCACCAGATATCTGTAGTGCCAGGCACTGGGAGGGATGAGGACGCAGCAGTCTTTCTGGGTTCTAGAAAAACACGTCCCCGGGAACCACAGTCTGCAGGGAGACGTGTCCTCAAGCTTATGCAGCCTCCCTCACTGCCCCTTGTCTTTCCTCCTTAGTCTGAAGCTGCAGCTGGAGTGAAGAAGAGCGGGCCGCTGCCCAGTGTCGAGGTGGAGTGTCATTGCCTCTGTCCCCGTGGTGGGTGGAGGGGACAGCCATCAGAGTCCATGTACACAAACCTTACGGGCCAGCTCCTGCTGCTTCCAAGATTTACGTGTGGCCTGCTGGTTTTGTTTTGATGCAGAGGTTGGAGAATGTTCTCTTTGGCCCTCATGACTGTTCCCATGCCACTCCAGATGGCTACCCAGTCACCCCCACTGCCAGTAAGTAGAAACCCCTGGGCTCAGGAAGAGTGGGGTTGGCACTGCTCAGAGCCACTCTGCTTCAGGCCACGGGCTTTGACCTTCCTGACTTCATGCGGCTAGGGTCTGTGCCAGCTCAGAAACAGTCGGACCTCTTCACTAACCAAAAAGAGGAGACCTTGCTGGATACCAAATGCCTTCTCGCCACAGCCGTCATCACATTGTTTAATGTGAGTAACAGGAAGCTCCGGTGAGGTGAGGTAGCTTTGTGGGTATTGTGGGGTTCGTCCAGCAGGCTGTCTGCCAGGAGCATTCACACACCCGGGAGACTAACACCAGAGTGAAACTGCAGCGGGAGGAGAGGTGCAGGGAGACAACGCTCCAGGGAGGTCATCTGCAGGACATGCCCGGGCTTCCCCTCAAGGGAAAGCTGCCCAGTAGGGGGGAGGGTATGGCTGAGGTGACAGATGCAGAGCTTTCAGACACAGCCACCAACAGGGACTGTCCATCTCGATGTCTTGAGCAGGGGCATCTCTCAAGCCTACTGGATTAAAATCAAGATGCATTTCATTGATCTGCTCAATCACATGTTCCCACCTGACATGAACCCAGGCCAAATACCCAGCAGTGTCCCTAACACCTCCCTGAGGATGCCGAGTAGGATCACAGCCCTCTGTCAGGGCCAGAGCCAAAACCTCCTCCCTTGAACCAGCTTCTCTGCCATCTCCATCTTTCCAACTGCTCAGGACAAAACCCTCTGGCATCCAAGGCTCCTCCTTCCTGTCACCTGCCACATCCAACTCACTGTCTGTCTAATCAAATATGGAGTCTGTGCTGTGTGCACCTTCCTGCCTGTGCCCAGCACTGTACTCTCCAAGAAGAACAGACTTTGCCAATGGTTTGCACTGTGGTTCCTGAGAAGTGAGGTGCAGCCAAGGCAGGTCTGTGGAGTGGTCATAGCAGTTAGTGACACTGTTTTGGAGACTCCGTGTCACTCACCTGGGGAGGGCCCTGTTCCCAGAACATGTTGAGCTGTGACAGAGCCTTCCTGCTCACACCCCTGGGCTCCTTGTTTCCACCAGTGATTGGAGATCCAGGTTCCTCACAAAAGGAAGGCTGAGTACATGAGCTGGTCAGGATGGGTGAGTGTTCAAAAAACCAGAGATAAGAGCAGAACATGCAGGGGCAACTCTGGGCACCATAGCAGGTGGAGTACTGGGAACAAGAGATTTTTCAGAAAGAAAGAACTGAGAGAAGAATCTTGCCTGTTGGAAAGACAGTCATCAAGCTTGCCAAATGTTCAGATGACAAAAACTAAGTGGTATAGGAGGTTACAGGAGTAAATTTGTAGTCACCCCTTCATGCCAGAATGTTGGACAAAGCCAAGATGAAATGTCTCTTGTAAAATGTACTACCTTGAACTTCACTTCCTTTTTAACGTAATTACGTGAATTTAGATGGGATCTCGCTTTGGCAGCTCATGGGAAAAGAGTCAGGCTGGGATGTAGCTCAGTTGCAGAGCACATGCTCAACCCTGGGTTCAGTTCCCAGCACTGCAGAAGAGGGCGGGGAAGCCTAGGAGCTTCAGTTGACCACAAGGTAGCATCAGCCGTCCAGAGGCTCAGCAGTGAGCATGAGCACAGATTCTAGGCTGCATTGACATGGAAGTGCTGTTTAGTCAGAAGGGGCTGTGGTCTCCCTTGACTCCGCAGAACAGGGAGCATAATTTAATTGATTTCCCATAAAGATCCATAATTACCTTTCCTATGTCAGTTAATACCTCCGGCCCGGCCTGCGGATGCACACCTGTAATCCTTGCAACTGGGGAGGCTGAGGCAGGAGCATCACAAGTTCAAAGGCCAGCCTCAGCAATTTAGCCAGACCTTGTCTCGAAAAAGTAAAGAAGACTAGAGAGGGCTGGGGCTGGGGCTCAGCAATAGAGCGCTTGCCTTGCATGTGTGAGGCTTTGGGTTCGATCCTCAGCAACACATAAAAATAAAGATTAAAAAAAAACAGAGGACTAGAGATTTGGCTCAGTTGTAGAGGACCCCTGGGTCCAATCCCCAAGTACTACACAGAAAAAAAGCCTTTAAGCTTTCGGGCCAGGCAGGTAGGTGTCGGGTTAAATCTTTGTCTTGCCACTGCTAACCACAAGGCTCTGGAAGACTTCTGTAGCTGCTCCAAGCCTCAGTGAGAGGCTGCGAGACGAGAGCAGTACCTTGTGCCTCATAGGTTGTGGGGACACGGAGAATTTATCAAGTCAACAGATTAGTTTTGCAGCCCTATGAGGTGCTGTTACAGGCACAGGGCCTTGTACACAGGAAGGCTTAAGGACTAGCTGCTATTACTAATGTCACTGTTGTTCTTTTTCTCTTGTTTGCATCCTGATGTCACATATGGTCATGGTTATAAGTGATTGGAGTTTTGTCTGTCCCTGTAGGAACCTACTGCTGAGGAAAATGGAAAGAGTCCATTAACAGTTGCTCAGAAAAAAGCCCAGAACATAATGGAGTCCTTTGAAAACCCATTTAGGATGGTGAGTCCTGGCCGTGTGTGCTCCCGGCTGGTGTGCCTTTTACCTGAAAAGAAACAGCGGATCTCTGGGGAGGGAAGCCTGTGAGTCCAGTGTGTCACTTGTCCTCAGCGTCCTGGCTGGGACTATGAGTTAAGGCCTTCTAAGTGACCCCAGCAACCGTCCTGTGAGCACCCTGACTGGGCCCACGTGCCATCTCCCAGCAGTTCCCACAACTGTCTCCCTTTCCACAGTTCCTGCCTTCGCTAGAGCACCGGGGCCACATCTCTCAGGCAGCAAAGCTCGATCCGTCCTCGAAGATCTATGAAGTAAGTGGATTCGGCACCTTTTCTAAGTGCAATTCACAAAGAAAGGGGACTTCTTAATTATTTAAACTAGGTTTCTGTTTTAGAGAGGTTCCATGTGGATGGGCTTGTGATCTTCTGTGGGTGCAAAAGCCCTTTCTGTCTAAGCATTGCTTCTAGGAAGAGAAGCTTCAAGAGGTAGACTTCAGGCAGAATTTCAGGCTCTCCAAAACACTTGGAAACCTTTTAAGAAACAGGTTTTGGACTGGTCTGTGGCTCCTGGCATGTGGGAGGCCGAGGTTCCATCCCCAGCATTGCAAGAAAAGATTTTGTCTTGTGGTGTTCGTAACTGAGATTTAAAATGTAAAAAGTGTGCACAGCATTAACGTGCAGCTTGATGCAGTTTTGCACTGTGTGTCACTCTCAGCTCTTAGAGCACAGCTGAAGCTTTCAGACCCCCTGCCTCCACTGTTTGGTGTGTTTAGCAGCATTGTGAATACGAGCCCTTGTGCTGGGCCCCCGCCAGGGACACATTAACTGAAAGCCCCTTCTCCCTGCGGAAGCTCCACTCTCACAGCAAAGCCCAGGGCCCCCCTTGGCAGCACAGACGTCAGCAGGTGACTCCCTGACAGGTCTTGGCCGTGGTGCCGAGGGTCCACCTGCTGGTGTTGGAGTTGGGGGTCAGGTCAAGCTGTGCCTTCTCCCTTCTCCCTGCTAATTGTGGCACGAGCAGCTGTCTGTGCTTGGTGCCCTTGTGTGGCATCACCCAGATGTGTTCCAGCACCACAGCTGACAGCAGGTCACACAGAACAGCGGGACTTGCCTTGACTCCCAGCTCCACCACTCCCTGATCATGTCCCTCCCAAGGCACAGAGCCTCCCAGGCCTGTTCCCTTGCCTCTGAAGGGATGGTGGTGACGGTAGCTCTGTCCCAGTGTGACGAAGGCATTGAAGGAGCTGCTGGGTGTGCAGCCTCTAGCCTAGCGCCGGGGATGCAGTTGCACTTTGTCCTTGTCAATAAGGATCTTATAAATAAAGGCCAGAAGGAAACTTGGTTTTTGTGTCCTTGGATGGGGAACTTCTGACTTGGAACGTGTGGCGCTGGTAGGTCAGCGTGCCCGCCCCTGCCTCGTGGAGGAGGCGCTCTGAGATGGCTGCGCTGGGAGTGTTTTTGCCTTGTCTGTTTTCATTATAGATCAGCAACCGTTGGAAGCTGGCCAGCCAGGTTCAGGTACAAAAAGAACCTAAAGAAACTGCCAAGAAGAAGGCAGCTGAGCAAACAGGTAGCCTCACTTCCTTGTAAACGCAGTGTTTGATAAGGACAGCCCTCGCACGTCAGGCACTTGACTCAGTCGTTTCACAAAGTGTGAAAGAACAGTGACCACGACAGGCCCAGCCCCGCCTCAGGCAGCCTGCCTCGGCAGGATGGACAGTAGACAGCAAATGTGTGTTCTGGGGAAAGCCCGGAGGTGCCTGCGGGAGAGGCGAGGAAAGTGGTGCCGTCGCCACTGGGCCGTGGCTGGAGCAGGCAGCCTAACCAACGTGACATTGAGCCAAGTCCTGGAGCGATTAGGGGAGGAGGGTCTGGACCAACCTTGACCTCGCAGCGAGTCCCAGGGCCCAGGTGGCAGCTTCCTGAGCATTCTCAAGGAGTGCCAAGGCTGCCCATAGCAGCAGCACAGAGGCTGGGAAGAGGGACGGAAGACGGGACCCCAGGCAGGGCATGGGAAAGACCCGCTTTCACCCTGAGTGGGTTGGGAAGCAGCAGAGGGGCTTCTGTGTCGCAGGTCCCTCGGGCTGTCATGTTGCAGTGGGTTGTAGAGGGAAGGCGGGACCTGCTGGGAGACACCCAGGGACCAGGTGAGCAGGAGGGGAGGGGTTGTTTGGACCCCGATATGCCCCATAGCAGAAACTCAGCCTTTGGCAGTGAGTTGGATGTGGCAGGTGACAGGAAGGAGGAACCTTAGATGCCAGAGGGTTTTGTCCTGAGCAATTGGAAAGATGAAGACAGCAGAGGAGTTGGTTCAAGAGAGGAGGTTTTGGTTTTGGTTCTGGCCCTGACAGAGGGCTGTGATCCTACCCGGCATCCTCAGGGAGGTGTCAGGGACACTGCTGGGTATTTGGCCTGGGTTTATGGGAGAGGAGCAGGCAGGTGGGAACATGGGATTGAGCGCCCAGGTGCAGGTGAGAAGATCAGCCAAGCTGAGCCCGCTGCAGGGGCCAGTGGGCAGGAGGGCAGCTGTGCTCACCGCCAGGGCTGGAGAGCTGGCTCCGGGTTGGCAGCTCCACGGACTGTTCTTTCTTGCAGCCGCCCGGGAACAGGCAAAGGAAGAGTACAAAGCCGCAGCGGAGCAGGCCACCTCTGTGCGCCAGCAGGCAGTGGTATGTGCTGGCTTCTCTTACCTGTGAGAAACAGGACGCCCTGTTGCGGTCAGGCTCTCCCTGATCATCTGAGGAGGGGTCCCCTGTGCATCAGAGGAAGTGGTGACTCCCGGCACCTTGGCTCCTCAGCTGGTGCCTGCCTCATCTCCCCTCAAGCAGGTTGATGCTGTCCTTTCCCTTAGATGGCGCCTCCTGCTACTGATAGCAAATCTGCCAGAAGGCCCTTCTGTGGGTGGCAGTGTGGCCCCGGGAAATGCTTCATTCTCACCACCCCCAGAGCACTCTGGAATTCTAACCCCTGCCTTTCTTAATGACTGACATCACTGTCCAGGTAGGAACTTGTTCCTGCTGGCACTAGCCAAGTGAGAGTGTCCTGAAGTGCCAGGCTGCTCGTACCCAGCCATGGCCTCTCCCCGCCACCAAAGCCATGTTTATATGATACAGGCAGCTGAGTCCCCAGCTGATAGAGATTGAGCCTCCCAACCTGATCCAAATCTGAAATGCTCCCAAATCCAAACTCCCTGAGCAGGCACACGCCACCACAGGGGAACATTCCACACCTTCGAACCTTAGCTTGTGCCAAAAATCGTTTAGCATACTGTGTCCAGTCCCGTTGAGCTGTGTGCATAGGGGCATAGGAAGCACAGAAGAGGGCTGGGGGGGCATGCCTGGAGCCCTCTGCAGTAGGCTCACTCCGTCTACTGCAGAAAAGAAAATGAAACAAATGATTCTGGTGTTTAGACTTGGGCCCCATCCTAAGGTGCCCCATCATGTAATGTGTAGATGTTCCCCCAGAAATCCAAACTCCACAACCTGTGGCCCAGGCATTTCTAGGCCCTCCTCACCTGTCACCGAAGCGGCAGGTCTTCCCCTCTCAGGCACTTCCTGCTTCCCTCCCTGGGTGTGCTCGCCCTGCAGCTAGAGCATGCTGCTAAGAAGAGAGAGCGAACAACAAGCGACCCGAGGACCCTGGAGCAGAAACAGGAGAAGAAACGACTCAGGACTTCCAAGAAGCCAAAGGACTCAGAAAAAGATTTTACCCCTTTTGACTACAGCCAGTCGGACTTCAAGGCTTTTGCTGGTGAGGACAGGACTGGGGCCCCACTCTGGGACATCTGGCCATTCGAGGTGGGAGGAAGCTGTCCAGTGAAGAAGGCACAGTTTAGGCACAGCAAGCCCTGCCCAGGACGTGGCCGTGGCCAGTGACCGCCAGAAGCCCCCTTCCCCAGAACTAGCTCTCAGCCCTCCGTGTGACTAATGGCTTCGTCCTTTCTCACAGTCACTTGTGCCCAGAACACACACACATACACACACTCACAGGTATTGTTGATTGAAAGCACCTGAAGCCCAAACTCCTGGCTCCCTCTAGCTGCCTCCAGGGCAACACAGCCCTTGGAGGAGCAAGAGAGCAGGACAGTCCACACGGGGACTTCATCAGGAGCCCCTGTCCCTGCCTATGGCGCTGGATCTTGATGTCAGAGGAGCCACCTGCCCCTAACAGCCTGGAAACAGGTCTGTGAGAACTAAGCCTGGTCTCAGCAGCAGCGATTGGAAACATTAACTTATGTCATTGCAAAGCAGGTGGCAGGCTGGCCGCCAGCAGTCTGAACCCCGGGCGGGCCCTGTCTTAAGCTCCTTGCCTCAGCGCTGGCCTCATCTCTTACCTTGCAGGAGACAGCAAACCCAAACCTTCCTCCCAGTTTGACCCCAGTAAGCAAGCCGTGTCTGGCAAGGTAAGGCCGCACCAGGAGCGCTGCGCTCCCCGCAGTCTTGGTTCAGCCCCTCTGCTGGGAGGGTGCTCCATCCAGCAGTCCTCTTCCTCTGTGGCTTCTCCTGCTCCTTCCTTCTGAGGGGAGACGGCACCTAGCAGCTGCTTCCGCCATTTTTTAAAAGTGGCTATAAAAGATGGCGCGCAGTTGTTTGTTGTCTTTTTTTTTTTTTTTTTTTTGTGGGGTGGGGGTTTACCGGGGATTGAATGAGGGCACTCAGCCACTGAGCCACCTCCCAACCCTATTTTGTATTTTATTTAGAAACAAGTCTCACTGAGTTGCTTAGTGTTTCTTGCTGAGACTGATTTTGAATTTGTGATCCTCCTCCTCCCTACTTCAGACTCCCATTCCGCTGGGGTTACAGGCATGGCCCCCACCCAGCCTGGCATGCAGTTTTTCTTTGCAGCCATGGGAATTTTTTTTTTTTTAACCCAGGGGCACCAGCCCTTGTTATATTTTATTTTGAGACAGTCTTGCTAAGTTGCTTAGGACTTCGTTAAGTGGCTAAGGTTGGCTTTGAACTGAAGATCCTCTAGCCTCAGCATTCCAAGCCACTGGGATTACAGGCATGCACCACCGCGCCAGGTAGCCATGGGAACTCTAGCTTCAGGTCAGAAGCACCCCTTCGGGTGCCAGTATGGCCAATGTGTACCCCCTGTGGGGTCCAGGCCCAGCGGGGCTGGCATGTGGGAGCAGGGCTGTGCAGAGCCTCCTGTTCCTGCCCTAGCTCTGTCTTCTGAAGTGCACAGGGGTGCCCACTGCTGGAAACCAGGGCTCACCCGTGTGCTGGGTACCCCCTCTCCCTAGCCATCTGAGTTGGGTGTTCTCCTCTGCTGGTCAAGGTTGTCCCCCACCTTCAACATCTCTTATCTTTTCAGAAGTGCTTTGCAGCCAAAAAACTGAAACAGTCAGTGGGAAACAAAAGCATGTCCTTTCCAACTGGAAAATCAGACAGGTATGTGGAAGTAGCCAGGCGCAGGCCCTGGAGCCCAGCAGGAAAGCACCCTCCCTGTTGCACTTGGGTACCTGCAGCAGAGCACAGCTCAGAGGGCTTTGTCTAGAAGAGCAGAGGCTTTCTCCACAGCCAGGCCTCTCTTTGTCACTTGAAAAACAGGAGGGGACGTGATTTGCTGTGTGCCACATGTCATATGGCCACTTACTGCATCCCAGCATTCAGACCCCTTATTCTTTGCTCTTTCCTGTTTAGTTTCCTGAGGTCACCTCAGAGCAAATATGTATGAAATTTTCTTAGGTCAGCCTGTTTCTTAGGAAAGAAAGAAAAAATCGGCAAATGTGGGTTGTCATTGCTGAAGAATGTTGTAGTTAAGAGCGTGAAATCCAGATCATGCTAGAGCAGTACCTGAGGTTGGGCCCTGGCACAGGAAAAATTCTGCTCAGGGCCTTGGCCATTGCTGTGGGCCCCGCATTCTGCCCCCGCCACCCCACTGCCATCCAGCTCAGTCCCCAGGGCCCAAGCAAGCCATTCTTCAGTTCTGCCTTCTAGAGGGTTGTGTGTTGTATAAAGCAACTGAGACCCAACTGTCAGCCGCTCTGGAAGAAGTAACTCTGTTTTCCTACTGTCTCTGCAGAGGCTTTAGGTACAACTGGCCAAAGAGATAGTGCTGGAAGAGACCCTTGGGACCCCAGGGACTGGAAGCACCAAATGGTGGTGCTGCTTTTATATAAACGCATTTTTAAACCATTAAAACTAATTCCTTCTGGAAGAAAGCTGGTTCCTGACTCTTCTTTTGCTGCCATCGTAGCCCTGGCAGGAAGGACAGGCCCCGTCCCGTTCACACCACCACCCTCAGCTGTCCATGAGAGAGGAGAGTGCCCTGAAAGGTCACTGTGATTTCTAGAGAAAGCCAGAACCCCCAAGGGAGTAACACAGGAGAACAGCCTGTGACTCAAAAGAGTGAGGTGTTGCTCGCCTTAGGAGGGTTCTGTGGGCCTCTGACCCCTGTCTGGGCTTTGGGATAATGTGGGTGAAGCTGTGGTACGCCGTTGCAAAGAGGGCTGGAGTGCTCTGGAGCCAGTGTGGCTTCTGGAGAACTTGATCTCTGTTCCTTTCTCTTCCTTTAAGAAAGAAAAAATAAATAAACAACAACAACAAAAAAACCTTTTTGTCTTTTCCTGATTATAAAAGAAATTACATTGGGCTGGGGGGGAGTAGCTCAGTGATAGAGCACTCGCCTCGTATGTGCAGGGCTCTGGATTCAATCCCCAGCACTGCAAAAACAAGAGGAAAGCAAGTTTACTGTAGCAAATGTGGATGGCACAGAAAAATGCAAACAAGAAATTTAATCACCGGGTGTTGTGTATTTCCTGTGGGCTTTTTTTACTGTGCAGATGCACAGTTGTAGGGGCGTCTTCCATAGCCATGCTTTCCATGTCCATGAGCTCAGCCGGCCTGGAAGGGAAAATATTTTTTTAAATATACCCATACTGAGCAGTGGGCTTTTATGTACATAAATTAGGTATTATCTGTAACCTGGAGATGATTTGGGTATACAAGATGGGCTGGGATGTAGCTCAATGGTAGAGCACGTGCCCAGCATACAGGAGGCCCTGACCCAGCCCTCCAGAAACGTACACAGCAGGATTTGTGGGTTCTAAGTGGATACACATCATTTCATATGCATATTTGGGTCATCTTCAGTGGGTCCTGAGCCAGTCTCCCATATTTTTAAATTTACAGCCTTGGGTTTAAGTTCCTATTTTTCACCTTTAAAGTTTATAAGATTTTCCTCATTCTAAAGCCAACCCTCATAATCAAACATGTAGGTTACCATTAATTTGCTTTGTATTTTGTGTGTGGGAAGGGGGTACTTAACCACTAAGCCACATCCCAGCCCTTTATTTAGAAACAAGGTCTCAATGAGTTGCTTAGGGCCTTGCTAAGTTGCTGAGACTGGCTTTGAACTCGTGATCCTCCTGCCTCAGCTTCACAAGCTGCTGCACCAGCTCTATTTTATTCTATTCTGAATGCAACATTGAACTTCATAATTGTGACCAAAACTGATGATTTCTTAAGAATTCCATTTTATTTTACTGAAACAATGAAATCAACAAAGTGCAGAATACCATTATTTTTGTTACCACAAATACTTAAATTAGGAACCGTTTTCTTTGAAATTTCTCTCACAAATTATTGATGGCCAACTATGCATGACAGCCTCTGGATGACAGGCTCTGGGCCAAATTAAGCCTCATGCTGCTATGGCCCTTCAGAGTAGTACTTCCTTGTCAGGAGGACAGTAAAAAGCAGCTCTGTCTGCAGATGGGCCAGCTAGGACCAGGCTGGTTGAAAGTAACAAGAAAGTCAAACTCTTGAGAACAAGACAAATGTTCTCTTCCCTTTGTAAATAAGGTTTGTCCAGAGGCAGCATGGTGGCTCACGAAAGCCAGCCTCAGTTTGAACATAGGACTTCCTCCTCCCCACCCAGTGGCTCCAGCCATCACATCATCATTCCAATCAGCTCGAAGGGAGCCAAGAGCACCCAGCCTCTTTCCACTTCCCAGTGACCAGAACCTAGTCACATGGCCACAGCAAGAGGTCCTGAGAAATGTTAGTATTTCAGTCATCCATTTGCCCACCAAAAGACGCAGAATTCTGAGTACAAAATTTGGAAAAAATAAAATAGACACTGAAGGACAAGCACAGCCTCTGCCAAAAAATGGCAGACTCTACTAAATAAAATGGACGGATGGAAATTTTTAAAGGTGAGAAACGGTTTCCACTGAGGACAGCCTGAGAGGTGGGCTTCCTAAAGGAGGCATCTGGACAGTGAGGGGTAAAGAAAGGAGCCTGGGGAACTTGGGGAGCCAGCGCCACCGGCCTGTGGAGCCTGAGGGAGGCCAGTCTGGCACCACCCAGGCCAACAGGAGGTAAGTGGCCCAGACCTGGCCATGTGGTTACCAGGCTCCCACTGGGCAGACAGGAATGAAAAGTCTGTTGAAATGACTCCTGGTCCTTTATTTGAAAGGTCTCCTTACTGGTTTTGTTTTTGTGACAGTGTTATCATTTTAAGATGGGGCCAGAGACAGGAGGAGGATTTTATTGTTTTTAAAACAGGGCCTAAGTTGCCCAGACTGGCCTCGAATTTGGGATCGTCCCAAGTTGCTAAGATTACAGGCGTGTGCCACCGCAGCCAACTAGGTCTTTTTTAAATGTCCCTTTTTTTCTGGGCACAATGGCACATGCCTGTAATCCCAGCTGCTTGAGAGGCTGAGGCAGGAGGATTACAAGTTCAAAGCCAGCCTCAGCAAAAGCGAGGTGCTAAGCAACTCAAGTCTCTCAATAAAATATAAAAAAGGGCTGGGGATGTGGCTCAGTGGTTGAGTGCCCCTGAGTTCAATCCTCAGTAATAAAAAAGCAAATACAAAAAAAAAAAAAGTCCCTTTTTGCAGAATAAAGTCAGCAATCAGGGCTGGGGTTGTGGCTCAGTGGTAGAGTGCTTGCCTAGCATGTGTGAGGCACTGTATTTGATTCTCAGCACCACATATAAATAAACAAAGTTCCATCAACATCTAAAAAGAAATTAAAAAAAAAAAAAAAGCAATCAGATCGGAGTCTCCAAAGCACTACTGGCCCATGGAAGGCCTGGGGTGGAGATGAGAGCCTTGGAGGGGCTGGAGAACAGCTGTGGCTCGGCCTGCTGGAGCCTTGTGCTCCAGTCAGGAGCTGCTCGGTGACAACCACAGAGGCCCAGGCTATGCTCTGGGAAGGGATCTGGAGGCCCCCAGCCGGAGGTAAGGAGCACTCAGAAGGGCTCCGGCTCAGGGAGGCTCTGCTGTGGCTCCCCGTGCTCAGATAACTTGCCAGATGCATCTTCCACCAAGCCAGACCATGTAATGGCCAAATTTGTTCCCACTCAGCCACAGCTGTTTGCCTGGATGAACACACAATTTTAAAATGACTCTCTTGAGTGCCAACTGCCTAATAAATCTCTCCACGACAGAGACACCTGGTGGCAGTCCCACCGAAACCATCAAAACCATTACTTTGGACAATGGCCATGGGCTCTCCTCTCCTTGCCTTCCTCCTTCCCCTTTAAAGTTACCACCACTTAGGGGTTGGGACAGTGACCCCATTAGCCAGCCAGCCATGCTTTACCACTTAAAGCTCCCATGCTCCTTTCTCTGAATTGGGGAAAATGTCTCATAGGTTATCTGGTTTTCTCCTGATTTTCAGTATCTATGGTTCAGATGGGAGTGAGGCTACTTAGGGCAAAAACCACAGGTTTTCCTCCTCATGATCTGGCGTGGCATCTAGTGCTCTCCATCTGGGGACTATTTTGTCAATAGCTTTTCTAGGGCCTTTATTTCTTGAACCTGAAAAGCGTGTGCAACTCTTGCACACTCTAGCCTGAAGGCCAAGGCTCCACGGAGGGCAAAGGGTGTCACTTACAGTCTCACTTGACAATCCACACGGGGCAGCTTTGTTCAGCTTGTTAGGATGGGATGGGCATAGCCATGCACTATCTAGATAGGAATCCAAGTCAACTGGCCCACAGGATACTGGGCCTCAGACATTCACTCAGCCCATCATCTGGTGCCTCCCATCTACACACACCATCCCTAGGCTCCTGGAGCTTAGTCCAGCTCAGGATACACACACAAGGAAACTGACCTCTACAGCCCAGAAGCGAGACTGTCTAGATGGAAGTACAGGCTACGCAAACACCTTGACCCAAGTACAGACTGGACCAACTCTACTAGCTGGGCAGAGTGACTCCACCTTATCCTTAGGTTCTGAAAGGGCTCCATGCGAATTGTCTCCTAAGGAGTTTTTGGGTTTTGTTTGTTTGGGGGGTAGGACTGGGATTGAACCCTGAGGCTCTTTACTACTGAGCCACATCCCCACTCCTTTTTATTTTTTTAGATGGTTTCATTAAGTTGCTGAGGCTAACTTCAAACTTGCTATCCTCCTGCCTCAGGCTCCTGAGCTGCTGGAATTACAGATGTGTGCCACTGCGCCAGGCAGTCTCCTAGCAATTCTTCAACTGCCTTGGCTTACATCCCTCTAGAAGCATGCATGCAGTCAGCCAAGGCCCATATTGCTCTTGAAGTTACACCTACTGATACACAACATTGTGCCCTTCATCCTAGTTACAGAAACGGAAAGTCGGTTGTGATGGAACACACCTGCAATGCCAGCTCCTGGGGAGGCTGAGACAGGAGGATCATAAGTTCCAGGTGAGCCTGGGCAATTTAGCAAGACCCTCTCTTAAAATAAAATGGAAAAGGCAGGGATGTAGCTCAGTAGGAGAGTGCTTGCCTAATAGAGAACCGTGGTGCTCCCACTCCAGGTGGAGGCCATAAAACGTCAGTCAAAAAAACATCACTGACACTGTCACTAAGACTGTATTACCAGCTTCATCTCCTTCCTTGGCATTCGAACTGCGCAGAGAGCAATTAGCATTTAATATTTGGTAATTAGCATGCTTAATGTGATTCTGAGGAGTTCCTTGACATTTTTATAAAAACAGCACATTCCCGCCCACCCTTCAAAGGGCAAGACCCAATGTGTCAAAAAGAAAAAAGCATGCCAGTCTTCTGATGCTGAATATGCATGTGTTGGGACTCTTCCTGGACACTCCCAGTAAATTTAGAAACTCATTTAGAAGAGGAAAAAAAAAAAAAAAAAAAACTTATTCGGCAGCCATCCGTTCAAGACGCAGGGAATCTAGGGGAAGTGGCTAAATTCAGCTTATCAAGTCACAGGCTGTGATGAACCTTTCAAATTAAAAGAAAAAAAAAAAAATCTTCAGTGAGCCCCAACTAACCCCGGGACCCGTGGCTCCACCGCGGAGCCACACCTGTGGACGCAGTAGGATACATTCTACTCCCGCCGCGGCAACATCGGAACCCTTGGTCTGACAATGTAGCCGCCCGCGCCCGCTCCTGCTGCCCACAGCCTGGAGCCCCCGCCAGCAGGTCCCAGCGCCCCAACGCTCCGCGCCTTCCCTCCGGAGTCCCCCAGCCGCTCGCCCGGGCCTGGACGGGCGGCCCTCGGCCCCTCCGGACCCCTGCGAGGGAGCGGTGCCTGGCCTGCGCGAAGCCGGAGGAGAGACCCCGGACCCCTTCCGCCCGCGCAGCCCGCCCCGGAACCCGCCCGCGACCCGGACCGCCCGGCCGCAGCCCCGGCCTGGCCCCACGTGGCCCCGGAGCAGACCGCACTACCGTGCTGTCGCCGACGGACCGCGCGCCTCAGCCAATTGGCGGCGCGCTGCGGACTGGCTGCCAATGAGCGACCGGCGAGGTCGCGCCGCCGATTCGCCGCGGGCCTGCTCCCGCTTCGCCATTGGAGAGTTAGGGCTCCGCCCCCCACCGGCAGGCCCCGCCCCTCAGGCCGGGTTAGGTTGCGGCGCGGGCGGCGGGCGGAGCTGGTCCCGTTGTGCTGCGGCTCCGCGCGGCCTGCAGTCCCGGGCCCGCGCCCCGCGCCCCGCGCCGCCCGCAATGGAGCCCGGCCCCGACGGCCCCGCCGCCATCCGCGAGGGCTGGTTCCGCGAGACGTGCAGCCTGTGGCCTGGCCAGGCCCTGTCGCTCCAGGTGGAGCAGCTGCTCCACCACCGGCGCTCGCGGTACCAGGATATCCTTGTCTTCCGAAGGTACCGCCACCGGCTCCCAGCCAGACCGCAGCTGCCCGGCTCCGGGACCCTTGCAAGCTCTGACCCCCGCCGGCCCTCGTCCTGCCCTAATTCCGGCCCAGCCACCCCTTCTGGCTGAGCCGCTGTCCTGCCTTCCTCCTCCCGACGCCCCCGAGCGCCCTGCCTGCCGCCCGCCCCCTGCAGAACTGTCAGAAGTTCGTAGGAACTAGGCCCTGCTCCTGCCTGGTCCCCTCCCCGCCGTGCACCCGTGCCCAGGAGCTGGGGGAGGCGTTCCATGCAGGCCTCGGGCAGGAGGCAGCCAGTGTGCGCCACGCTCCACGTGTCAGTCCCAGGACACGTCAGCCGAGGAGACCCCGAGTCCCACCCCAGACCCCACCCCGTGGGCTGGCCTGCCATCCCCGCCACGCGTCACCCTCTCTACTTACCCCTGAGACCCTGTGGCGGGGTTGGGGCACATTCCCTCACCCCAGAAGACTCAGGCCCCCGACTGTCACTCCACCCGCAGTAAGACCTACGGTAACGTGCTGGTGCTGGATGGCGTCATCCAGTGCACGGAGAGGGACGAGTTCTCCTACCAAGAGATGATAGCCAACCTGCCTCTCTGCAGCCATCCCAACCCCCGAAAGGTACCCTGCTCCAGCCCGGAGTTAGCCGTGAGTTCTGAGGAGCAGGGCTGGGCTACAAGAGGCCCCGGACATGCCCATGCCTGGCCCATGCTGCCTAGAGGCCTGTCAGAGAAAGCGCTGGCAAGGCTGAGGGGAGTCCCTGGGTGGATGGAGGCTGACGTTGCCTCTAGGGAGCAGTCCCCCCGAGCCCTGAACCTTAGAGCAACCCTGGGAGGGGCTCCCAGGAAAAGGGGACAGCCCTGGCCAGGTTGCTGAGGCTGGAAGGCATTTCTGAGAGTAGCGAATGAAGTCAGGCGGCTCGTGGCTCAGCAGAGCCCAGAACCCCCTGCTCCAGATGGTTCTGTAGGGTGGCCTGCTCCTTGCCACTCAGACCTTCAGGGCCCCTGCCTCTGACTGTCCCCCACCCCAGGTGCTGATCATCGGAGGCGGAGATGGTGGCGTCCTGCGGGAGGTGGTGAAGCACCCCTCCGTAGAGTCTGTGGTCCAGTGCGAGATCGACGAGGTGAGTGCATGCCTGCTTGTCCCGCTTCGCCCAGACCTGGCCACGCTCCCTGGGCACGGTGCTGCACCTTGCTGGGAGGATTCCGTGGGAAAATGGCACGCAGAGCTCCACGGCGCTAGTTCTTAATAGGCTCGGGACACTTCCAATTAGTAGGACTCTTTATACTGGGCCTGTTTTTAGTGCTCATTGGCTCTGCTGGGAATTTCTGGAGGTGCTGGGCTCCAGTAGTAGACAGGGGTGTCCTTTACCCTTGGCGATGAAGTTACAAGTTGGAGAAGACCTCAGAGGGGGATGTGGTAAGGCTTGACAGGGCCGGGGAGTGTGGCGGAGGCGGGAAGGCACAGGCCCAAGAGTGCAGGGTAATCAGGACAGGCCTCCAGGTGCAGCATTTAAGCTGGAGCCTGAGCAGAAGCCGATGGTGGGGCGGAGACCAAACAGGATTCTTGCTGCCGGGGTCTGGCGCTGCAACCTCTGACGTAGGAAATGGAAAGCAAGCTGTGCAGCTGGGGTAGTTGGCCTGTGGGGAGGGGACAGGGATAGTGGGAGATGAGGTCTGAGCTGCAGGCAAGAGCCAGCACCCCGTTCCCATGAGGAGCTGTGTGCCAGAGTTCTCCCCATTTTAAAGGTGTGGACACTGAGGTTCCAAAAAGGAAGGGCTTGTCCAAGGTGACCAGGCTCCCAGAAGTACTCCTGGGAGTCCCACTTGACTAGCTCCAGAGCCCAACTTCCTTCCTGCTCCTTCCTGTTCCCTCCTCAGGATGTCATCCAGGTCTCCAAGAAGTTCCTGCCCAGCATGGCTGTTGGCTACTCCAGCTCAAAGCTGACCCTGCATGTGGGCGACGGTTTTGAGTTCATGAAACAGAACCAAGATGCCTTCGATGTGATCATCACTGACTCCTCGGACCCCATGGGTGAGCAAGGGCTGAGGCCTCCACACCCTCCAGCAGCTGTTGCTCTAAAGTCAGCCTCTCAGAGGAGAGGACAGGAGGGTCCCTGAGACTACAGCTATACTTTCCCTCGTCAGTTGCTACCCTCCTCAAACAGGACTCAGGACAGGAGGGAAGAGACCAGGCCACTGCCCCAAGTTCACAAGTCTGGGGACCTGAGAGTGGGGATCAGACATTGGCCCACTGAGGGTCCAGTTTCTTCTTTGGCCTCCCCTCTGCCCTTGACTGGCCTACATTGGGGTGGAGAATGAGTTCTAGTCCTTTTTTTTTGGGGGGGGGCTACCATAAATTGAACCTGGGGACACTTGGCCACTGACCCACATCCCCAGCCCTATTTTGTATTTTATTTAGATACAGAGTCTCACTGAGTTACCTAGCGCCTCACTTTTGCTGAGGCTGGCTTTGAACTCCCATCCTCCTGCCTCAGCCTCCTGAGCAGCTGGGATTACAGGCGTGCACCACCACGCCCCACAGGCTCTAGTCTAAAATCAAGGCTAGAGTGTCTTTCTGACCACAAGAATCCCCCTAGAATGGGATTAATTAAGTAGAGGGCCCTTCACATACTGAGGGGGTGAGCCTCACCTTGCCTGCCAGGTCCTGAATCCCACGGACCTGGGTTCCCATGTGAGCTCCACCTCTGGGCAGCTGTGAGGGCCTGTGGTGAGTTGGCAGTGGGTGGCCCCGAGGTGTGTCTCAGCCACGGTGTGTCCATCCCCTCCCTGAAGGCCCCGCGGAGAGCCTCTTCAAGGAATCCTATTACCAGCTCATGAAGACGGCGCTCAAGGAGGACGGCATCCTCTGCTGCCAGGGTGAGGCTGCCGGGAGCTGAGGGGGCAGGGGCGGGTGGCCCTGCGGGCTGACGCTGTGGGCCTCCCCCAGGCGAGTGCCAGTGGCTGCACCTGGACCTCATCAAGGAGATGCGCCAGTTCTGCAAGTCCCTCTTCCCGGTGGTGGCCTACGCCTACTGCTCCATCCCCACCTACCCCAGCGGCCAAATCGGATTCATGCTCTGCAGCAAAAACCCGGTGAGCTGGCGGCTGCCCCCAGGGCGGGCGCCGGTGGGCAGAGCCCTGCCTTGATGCCCTGTGTCCTGGGTCCCCAGAGCACCAACTTCCGGGAGCCGGCGCGGCCACTGTCGCCGGCACAAGTGGAGCACATGGCGCTGCGCTACTACAACGCGGACGTGCACCGCGCCGCCTTCGTGCTGCCCGAGTTCGCCCGCAAGGTGAGCGCCGCCGCCGGGCTCCGGAGCCGCCTGGTGCCACGCAGCCCGGAGCGTCCCCTGACGGCCCCCTGTCCTACCAGGCCCTGAACGACGTGCGCTGACCGGAGCCGCTGCAGTGCCGCCCAGGACCGCAGACTGGACGGGGCGTCCCCAGCGTGCCCAGGCCGTGGCCCAGACCAGACCCCCGCCAGCTCTCGCCCACCGACCAAGTGTTACAGGCCCCGAATGCTGCCCGGCCTGCCCTGCTGGGCACTCTGTCTGTCTGTCTCTCTGGCGTTCCGCCCAAGCCTAGACCAGCTCTGTACAGACGCCTCTCTGCCCTCTCGCCCCTCAGCAAACACGTGTATTTATAACAAAGTTTGCCATTGTGTCCCCAACCGCCGCCAGCCCCAGCAGGAGCCCCATCTGTGGTTGTGGGTGCTCCTGTGAGTGAGGGTCTGCATGCCCCGTCCCCACTGTGACATTGGCCTGCCCCTTGACCTCCGGCCAGTGACACGACAGTCACCAAACCAGCCCCAAATGTGTCCCAGGAAGCTGATGAGCCATTGAACCCTTATTAGCAAGGTCCCAGGCTCATACCCCTGGGCCAGGGCCTTGGGACTGACAGGGTGGGAGGTGCTGCTAAAAGGGCTTCAGTCTCTCCTGGGGCTGCCCCGAGTATCCCAGGATTTCCACCTCACAGGATGAAAAGTGCCACCCCTGCACCAGGTGGGCACTGGGTGTGACCCAGAGGGGGCTGGTTGGAACAGGGTAAGGGCTCAGTTATGTGGGGCCTGTTAAGCACATTGGGAACTTGGCCAGGTTCTGGCTCAAGCCTGAGTCAAACACTGCCTCCCCACCCCCAACCTTCAGTTCCTTCTGGAATATTCCTTTCAGCTACCCCCAGGGGTTCAGGCTGAATGCAGGGGTGGTAGTGCACAGGGCTGTTACCTCTCCAAGGTGCTGAACCTGTGGCCCTCAGTGTCCCGGGAGCCTCGTCCTCCTGCTGTCCAGGACAGGGGCTTACTGGATACAAGAGCCACCAGGAGGGACTTGGGTCCAGGTTTAGATTTGGGAACGGAGGGCCCGGCCCCACCCGCCTCTGAAGACCAGCCTGAAAAAGCCTGGTCAGGGATGGGTCCGGAGGAGGGGCTGACAAGGACCCTGGGACTAGGGAGTAGCCCTGGCTGGTGGGTGGCACTGGAATTCCTCTTCTTCCTGGGCCTCCACCTTAGGGCCCTGAGTTGACAAGAGGGATTCGGGGACATCTGGAATGATGGGGGGTGGGGAGCCAGGGCCCAGCTTCACCAGGACTCTGGCCTCAGGCCAGCTACTGCCGGTCTCTCGGCTCCGTCCACCCTGCTTTCCTCTCACCCCCATAGGCCCACTGGTCTCTGAGCATGTTCTGACCTTTGCCCCCACAGCAGGTCTGACCTCAGTCTAACCTTTCCCCTTTACCCCCTTAGTCCCAGGCAGTCCTAGAAGCCAGGCTAGGGGACTGGGGTCTTCCCTGGTGTCTCCCAACTCGCACGGAGGCCCCAGTGAGGCCAGGAAGCAGCCGTGGCCACAGGGCGCAGCCACTGGTGGTCAGGGAGGCTGTCACTTGCTTCCTGTAGGGTCCTGTAGGGTCCAGCAGGGCCAGGCTCCAGCCTGGGGACCAGGCATCTTACTGATCACAGTTCTCTGAGGATGGAGCTATCCCCTCCCCACCCTGAAGGTGAGGCAGGTGATGTGCCCAAGGTGACAGGGGTCCCAAGCAGGCAGCCACCCTTTTAAGAACCATCCCACCCCTGCGGGCCAGGGCTCCTGGCAGGGGGGCCTGCTCAGACCCCTCTCCACTCCCCACTTCCCAGCAGCCCCATCTCGAGGGTGGCCCGGGCAGGGGTCACTGCTGGGGAAAAGGTGGGGGCAACCTTAGGCCCTGAAGTTCTGGGGGTCTCAATAAAAAGGACCAGGGGGTTGCAACTCGGTGTAGAGCGCCCCCTGGGCTCATCCTCAATCCCTGTGTCAGGACACCTGTCGGCAGGGGAGAGGAGCCCAGGGCAGAAACGGCCCTGCCTGGTGTGGATGGCCAGGGCACAGCCTCCCCTGCAGGGTGGAGGGACCCGAACTCTCCCACCCACCACAAAGGGGCATCTTCAAGGTCCCGCCCTGGGATGGGCAGGGGACTGATATGCTGGAGCAGCAGCAGCCTTGGTGAGGATGGGACCCGAGTCCCCCCAAGGTCCCAGCAGTTTTGAGGGCTGCAAAACAGCCCAGTTTGTGACAAGGGAAATAAACTCAATCCTACCTGATTTTTATTTTTGGTACCAGGGATTGAGCCCAGGAGCTTAACCACGGAGCCACATCCCCAGCCCTTTTTAATATTTTATTTTGAGACAGGGTCTGGCTGAGTTGCTTAGGGTCTTGCTTTTGCTGAGGCTGGCTTTGAACTCATGGCCCTCCTTGCCTCAGCCTCCTGAACCGCTGGGATCACAGGTGTGCGCGCCACTGCGCCCAGCAAAATTTCTTCAGTTAGCTCCATCCCTGGTTGAAGGGTTCAGATCATTCTCTGGCTGTCCGCACCAGGCACTCCGTCCTTGCTGGGAGCAGTCCCTTATTCTCTTTGAGCTGATTATTTTGGAATTTATCTTCTGTGATATAAAATGAAATATATTTGGTCTTTCTCCCCAATTTCTGACACACAGTCATAAAACTCTGGCGTTTCCTGATAACTAGTATCTTCAGACATTCTAAATCCGCTCCTTTTAATGGCACCTGAGTGTATGCTAATGAGGTGAGTTAGGGTAGGGCCACGGGGAAGATGGAGTGATCAGAGGGACAGGATTTACAGCCCCACCTGCCAGAGGACTCAGGAAGGGAGTGGAGTTTAGGCTTTGTAAACACTTTTGAAGGTTTTGTTTGTTTGTTTTATTGTTTCTTGTTTCATTCCCCCTCCCTCCTGTACCAAGGCTTAAACCCAGAGCTACATCCCTAGACCTTTTTATTTGGGCACCAGAGATTGATCCCAGGGCCCTCCACCACTGCTTAGAACCTCACTAAGTTGCCAAGGCTGGTTTCAAACTTGTGATCCTCTTATCTCAGTCTCCTGAGTCGCAGGGATTACAGCTGTGTGCCGCAGCCCCCAGCTATTTGATTTTTGAGGCAGAGTTTGGCTAAGACTGGCCTCAAACTGTCCTCGGCCTCTGCAGTCCCTGGGATTACAGGCGGCCGCCACCACGCCTGGTTTGTAAGCACTCTGGGCAAAGAGATCTGGTGGCTTGCAGGTTCTCGGCTCGCAGGTGTCAGCAGAGCCTTGGCAACACCCTTTAGAGTAACCCAGTGCAGGCGCTGACCCGCCTTCTGTGATTTGTCTTAGCAAATTCATGGAACCCAAGGGTCCCCAGAGGGACCTCTGATTTATAGTAGGTTGGCCAGAAGTGAGGTTGGCATCCAAGTGGGGCCAGTCTTGTGGGACTGAGCCCTCACCCTGTGGGATACGACGCCATCTCCTGGTAGCGTCAGCTGGTGTCTGGGCAGAACAACTCGGTGCACAGGAAACAACTCGTGGTGGTTGTATGTCTGCAGTGGAAGAGAATTGTTGGTTTGTGTGTTTCTTCTCTTTGTGTCTCTAGATAACATGCTCATATTACTACTTCTGGACTTATATTAGCCATAATATCTCTCTCTCTCTCTCTCTCTCTCTCTCTCTTTTGTACCAGAGCTTGAACCCAGGGATGCTTAACTACTGAGCCACATCCCCAGCCCTATTTTGTATTTTATTTAGAGACGGGATGTCGTTGAGTTGCTTAGAGCCTCACTAAGTTGCTGAGGCTGGCTTTGAATTTGCAATCCTCCTGCCTCAGCCTCCGGAGCTGGGATTACAGGTGCGCACTACCGCACACAGCTCAAGCCATAATCCCTTGATTTCCAGCTCGGGAAAATGAGGACTCCTTCCCTGCCCCTGCCCCACTCTCCACAGCTGAAACGCAGTCTGGATTAGCTGGGTCTTCAGTGTTTGCACTGACACTGAGACATCAACATGAGCCTGGCTCACGCTGGCCCGGATGACCAGGGGATTCTGTGGCTCTGACCGCCTACACAGCTCCCAGGAGCTTGGTCATGGTTTTCATTTCCTTTGTTCTTAATGAATTCATCACTGATCAGCCTTAAACTTTCACAATTGTCTAAAGCTCTTTTTATGGTCTTTAGGCTCAACAGGTGGCTTATCATTTTCATTTTTTTTTAAAGAAAGAGAGAGAGAGTGAGAGCGAATTTTTTTAATATTTACTTTTTTAAGTTTGCGGCAGACACAACATCTCTGTTTGTATGTGGTGCTGAGGATCGAACCCAGGCCGCACGCATGCCAGGCGAGCGCGCTACCGCTTGAGCCACCTCCCCAGCCCATCATTTTCATTTTCCTAGACGATCTGTCCGCAGCCTCCTCACTACCCCAGTGGAAGCCCCTCTCGGGCCCCGAGTCTTCCCATTGTTGGTTCCCCCCTTGTTTTAGTGGAGCATATCCCACGGTAGCTTTCTGAGGAAAGGAACGTGGAAAGCAAGCTTTTAAGTTTTGACATTTATGAAAATGTTTTGTTCCACCCTCAGGCGTGCTTGACTGATAGGTGAAGCCTTGGGTGGAGGACTCTGAACTCACAGGTGGGTAGCCAGACATTCCACCCCACTTAGAGGCCTCAGCCCCTCTCAGGGAAGCTCTCCAGAGGATATTGAAGTGGCCTCGTGACCTGGTGGCTAGCTTTCCCCACAACAAGTGCTCCAAGAGCTGAGTGGACGCTGCCATGTCGTGTGTGGCCAGGCCACACCAACCCTTCAGCAGTACTCTGCCCAGAAGGCCTAGTTGTATGTGTAAGACCACAAGAGGGTGTGACACCCCAAAGCACGAGTC